CATGTTTATTGGTTATATAGGTTAATATAATGATCATTCTATTATGAAATATGGTAACCACATTGGCAAAGCTACCTGTTACAGCATTAAGAAACTCACACAATAAAATTAAAACACACGTTGTATATTGCATTATATTGCATCGCTTCAGCTGAAAGCAGTTACATTGTTATAAATGGCCTTGTGGGTTACATATACACATTGTGTGTGCAGGTAAAACATTGTGTCTGTGTGTTTAAGTACACTTACGTTTTATAGATTGTATTCAATAAAACTAGGGATTGTTTTAAAAAAAGAGGAAATTTCTTCCATGAAAAACTTTATTTTGTTTTAATATTTTTGATTAAATTATTTGAAATTAAAATTTAAAACTTTAGAATCAATGGGAAAACACTGAGATTTTGTTTATTGGTTTTCAGAACAAATAAATACACTGACCGGCCCTAGCTGAAACCTTCGGGCCCAATCCTGCACATGGCGGAGCAATTGAAGTCCATGGGGCTGCATACAGGCCAGGCAATATGCCCACACTCAGTCACTTACAGGCTCAGGGTCTCATTTTGTTTAAGCACTGGGGGTGGGGGGAACAAAGGGGGAAAAGAGCACTTAATAATGTTGAAAGCTTGGAATTCGGTATCCCCACAAATAGGACTAACAGACCTTGCTTGATTGGTTTTTACAGTTAAACCTTCAAATACTTGAAAAGGCTGAGCCCTTACAGCTTGTGTGACATTATTGACATAAACTGGGACCATATAGATCATTGTTGCAACCAAGGTCCTGTAGTGGAACCCAAATCTTGTATAAAGGGGGTCAAATGGGGTGTCTAAGACAAGGTTATGGTTTACTGGTTATGATTATGCTGTCTATATGTGTGTATCAGTTTTGTAGTTGAAGTTATGAACATGGGCTCTATACTGTCTGTATGGCAAACTTATGCTATGCTTCTGGGAGACATCCCAGACAAGTTGGTGTTAGCTCTGCCTAGCCTGCTTGATGGCCCATTAAGGACCATCAGCTATACAATGGACCCATTGAGAGAAGGCCAATATGCCTTCAGACTCAGCAAAGTATGCAGGGACTGGCCCATGTGACTCCAGGCTCCATTTTGCTGTAATTTTCCACAGTGAGAACAAAGAGGTGTTCTTACACCTGGAAAAGACTATATAAGGCTGATGCCTCATCTCCATCAGGTCTTCAATCCTGCTTCATACCTCTGGAGGAACTTTGCTACAAGCTGAAGCTTTGAACAAAGGACTGAGGACCCATCCCAGCGGGGGATGTATTCCAGAGACTTGATTTGAACCTGCAGTTTATTCTATCGCTGCTGCAAGCCTGAACCAAGAACTTTGCCATTACTGTATGTAATTGATTCCATTTAACCAATTCTAACTCTCATCTCTATCTTTTTCCTTTTATGAATAAACCTTTAGATTTTAGATTCTAAAGGATTGGCAACAGCGTGATTTGTGGGTAAGATCTGATTTGTATATTGACCTGGGTCTGGGGCTTGGTCCTTTGGGTTCAGGAGAACCTTTTTCTTTTACTGGGGTATTGGTTTTCATAACCATTTGTCCCCATAACGAGTGGCACTGGTGGTGATACTGGGAAACTGGAGTGTCTAAGGGAATTGCTTGTGTGACTTGTGGTTTGCCAGTGGGGTGAGACCAAAGTCCTCTTTATCTGGCTGGTTTGGTTTGCCTTAGAGGTGGAAAAGCCCCAGCCTTGGGCTGTAACTGCCCTGTTTGAGCAATTTGTCCTGAGTTGGCACTCTCAGTTGGGTTCCGCCAGAACCGCATCGTCACAGCTTGCCATATCTGTAGCTCAAACAGACTTAAGGTTCTTTTATTGACATATTCCAATGAGGCTTTGAGAACAGTCACCTTCCCCCCTGGCCACCTACCCCCCCCTCATGGGGGGGGGGGTGCGGTTTGGGGTCCGTGAGGGGGGCGTTGCTTTTTTCCTTTTGCCTAACACCTAAAACACGGGTGGATGGAACTTCCCTTCCCTCCTACCTGCAAACTTTAATTAACACACACTTTGAAAACCCCTATAAACTTGGCCTTTATGGGACTATAACCCAACATATGGGTACTATATTGTCACATGCAGACATCAAAAATTGTCATAAAAACAAGACAATTAACCAAAAACTCCAAATAAAAACTTAGGTATTGAAACAAATCACCATCACAACAAGAAGTGTCATGTTTGCAACAGCCCTTATTTCAGCTGATTTAACCCTCAATTTATGGCCAATGTCCCAACAACCCAAAATCAAGAGGTCCTCTGGAACTTCCTGAGTGTGCCCAGACTTACTGAAAATCAACGTAAACAGGCCAGTGAGCTCTTCAGCCAGCGCTTCTAATCGTCTGGAATGCAAATTGTCTGGACCTGCTGATTTTAAAAATACCTAACTTTAGTAGCTGCTGTTTTACATCCTCCTGAGTTACTGTTGGACTGGAAAGTGTTTCCTCCTCATACGATGTGATGACATCATCTGCTTTTTTTCCCCAACTACAGAACAGAAATATTTACTGGACTCTTCTGCCTTTCCTGCATTATTATTGACAGTTCTACCATTTCCATCTAGTAATGGGCCAATACCATTGTCAGGATTCGTTTTGTTCCTTATATACTTTAAAAACCTCCTTATTGTCCTTAGCTCTGTTGGCCATAGATTCCTTCTTGCATCCCTTTGCTCCCCTTATCAGTTTTCTACAATTCCTAGCTTCTGATTTATATTCATTACTATCAATTTCCCCCTTTTCCATTTGTTTTATATAAAATATATTATTTTACAGGGCATTAATTTCCACTTTAAGCCAGGTTGCTTTCTTAACAAATATGACCTTTCTTGATTGTAGCTTTCTGGGCAGCTGTGGTTTGGAGTTTGCATAAAGTTACACTGCCTACTCCCACTGCAAACCACCACCATAATCATCATTTCTCTGTCTCTCAAAGCACTTGAAACTTGAGACAGTTAAGTAAAACTTTACTTTTAGTAATTTCTGTTATTCCTTTAAGTTCTTTTACAGGTAAAATCCTACAGATGGGAACTGAGGAGAGACCGTGCAATGTGTCCAAGGTGACACAAGGTGTCTGTGGTAGGCTAGGAATAGAATCTCAATCGCTTCCCAGTCAAGGGAACAGCCACAAGGCCACTCTTCCTGACCCATCTGGTTCCTTTTCACCAGGTGTGTACATGTCAAGGTTCCCTCTCCACTCTGAACTCTGGGGTACAGATGTGGGGACCCGTATGAAACACTCCCTAAGCTTATATTCCACCAGCTTAGGTTAAAAACTTCCCCAAGGCACAAATCCCTTGTCCCTGGACAGTATCGCTGCCACCACCAAGTGAGTTAGAGAAAGATTCAGGAAAAGGACCACTTGGAGTTCCTGTTTCCCCAAAATATCCCCCCAAGCCCTTTCACCCCCTTTCCTGGGGAGGCTTGAGAATAATATACCAACCAAATAGGTAAATAAGGGAGCACAGACCAGACCCTTGGGTTTTTAGTGTCCTAAAAACCCAATCAGATTCTTAAAAACAGAACTTTATAATAAAGAAAAAAGTAAAAGAAGCATCTCTGTAAAATCAGGATGGAAGGTAATTTTACAGGGTAATGAAATTTAAAACACAGAGGATTCCCCTCTAGGCAAAACTTTAAAGTTACAAAAAAACAGGAATAAACCTCCCTCTTAGCATAGGGAAAATTCACAAGCTAAAACAAAAGATAATCTAAAGCATTTCCTTGCTATTACTTACATCTAAAATTACAGAAATAGTATCATTCAGTAGGAGCTGGATTACTTGCTTGGTCTCTCTCTTTGTCTCAGAGAGAACAACAAAGAGCCCAAACAGCCCCCTCTGCCCCCCCGATTTGAAAGTATCATCTTTCCCCGTTGGTCCTTCTGGTCAGGTGCCAATTAGGTTAATGGAACTGATTAACCCCTTACAGGTAAGTGATTCTGCACCTCTGGCCAGGAGGGATTTGAAGTTACTGCATATATAAAGGTTGTTTTTCCCTATATATATATATATATAAAATATGACAGTACATCTTTCGGGATCGGGAAGATAGTATGATGGTAAATCCTGGGGCTCAGCAAGTGGTGGTGGTGACAGCTACGAAGGTGAAACTCATTAAAATGTAGTAGCACCTTCGTATTGTTGCTCCCTAGTAAGTTGTCAAGTGCTCCCTCCCAAAAAGCTGGCTGTAAACCGAGCATAAACCCTGCCCATTAAAGATAATCAAAGCCAGCATCTGGCGGTCCCATGTATGGGCACTTATTGTAACAATCTCTCAGCCAGTAGCTGTAGCTCACGAGGAACTTGAAACTCACTAATCACAGCTCAGTAAAGGCGTCCAGCTCTTACTTCAAATTTTGGTTTTTTTAATAAACAATTTTTATGGTTACAGGGTGGGAGTGAACTTTCCATCTTTTCCCCAGAATACAGCCCCCTTCACAATAAGACTAACCTTGACACCATGCTGATTGGTGCTCCCTTAACACATTCCTAAGTAGATGGAGCTGTAACTCCCCCAGGTAGTGGGGAGCACAAGTTGTGACAGGTTGTCACCCCCAGGCTGAGACCAAAAATGGAAAAATTCACAATTGGTTGGAAAGAAACAAAACAAAACACCACAACAGTGCTGGGTACAGACTGAGGTTAAGAAGCAAGTTGGAACTTCTAGCATGCACTATCCACACCTGTTACCATTTTAATTATGGAAAAAGTCTTTAACTACGGCTGCTACTAAGAAATTCAGTGACTAATTTTAGGACAGGTTTTAATATGTGTAAAATGTAATAATCATGAATGTAAATAGATAAAAAGAGTGGGGCCTGGGAGTGGGGATATTCTGTAGGAACATCACTTTTTCTAGGCTAAAGAGCAGGATGACGTGGGGTGCTGAATCCGTCCAGTCCCTGGGGAAGGCCGTGGGGATGGACGTTCAGCATCTTACAGGACTGAGCCATTTATTTTTGCCCCCAATTCACGCTTGTTTATCTACAGTTAGTGCCTTGTACATTTCATTGACTTGGCCAATCACTTTCTCCATTTCATTGACTTGGCCAACCACTTGCTCCATTTCATTGACTGCTTGTCGGATTTTAGCTGCCAGCTCCGTTTTTGCGCCATTGTGGAGTTCCACAGAATCCTTTGCTACAAAGATAATATCTAACCCCAGGGTGACACCTGTTAGAATGTGGGTCGCAGCTCCTGCAAATCTTGCAACTTTACCAGCATTAGCCAGGAGCTGCCCAGCTTTGACCATTTTCATGATGTTAAGAACAGCTCGTCCTGCCCCTGAACCTATCTGTGGGATTGCAAACAGTAAAGCAATGTCTCCATAACTTTCCAAGAGTTGTATAGCCTTTTTGATATTTTCCAGCTCAGTCTCACACTCCTGTAAGAGTTTCTCTACTGTCTCCTTCTTGACTTTACTTGCCACTATATCTGTGGTGGTTGCGGCTGCACTGATCAGTCCCCCTGCTGTAGAAACAGCAAGTCCTGTAAGAGAGACTATCAGGGATGCTCCAAATGTAACAGGAATGAGAGCGAGGCCTACGATGGTCGTTATCCCCCCGGCTATTCCCACTGTCCCTCCAGTAACGTTTGCTATTGTCGCTCCTTTGTGGACCCAGTCAATATCATCTGCAGTTTTCTGAAGTTCAGGGCAGTGTCTCTGCAATTTGTCTCTTGCCCTCACTAATGACTGCACCACTTCATTGATCTTCTTCATTCCTGGAAAACTGACAGAAAAGGGAGAAAAATAAAAAAATTAGTCTCCAGGTCTAAAATCCCTGCTCTTGCACCTTCTTGGGCATTCACTTCCATGGGAGCTGCATCCACTTACACCAGGGCTGAGTTTGGTCCTTGGTGACGGGTGAACCTCAGTAGGTTTCATTTGAATAAACACCCAGAGTTTAACTTAGGACCGTAGGAATTGCCACACTGGATCAGATCAATGGCACACTGCAGTTGACGTATTCCGTCTCCAATGGCGACCAGTAACAGATGATTCAAATGAAGGTGAAACCCCACATAAAGGACAATTACGGAATACCAGGCCCAGAGGTTAAGTTGCTGCCTTCTCGCAGCAGGAAGGTTTATATCCCTTTCAGAAGTTTTATCCTATCTAATTTAGTGGTGGATGTTCTCTTCATCCACCATTGGCTGTTAAATTGGAGTTAAGACTGAGGGTATAAACCTAGGAAATCGAGAGGTAAGATTAAAGTTAAAAAATCCAAACAGGGTGAGATCGGGAAATGCTCAGTCAGGGCCCTAAGAATCCTTAACTCTGCCCTGTAGTGATTCTATGAGGAAAGAATGAAATAAACCTAAATGTCTTTAGAAATCAGTTTATTGCAGGGCATCCTTCTAGGGAAGAGTTAAGGCTGTTGGGTGCCTTCCTATCAGAATTCTCCTCCCCGCGTAGGTGCTTATAAGCTGTGATCAAGTCACCTGTGAATCATTTCCAGGGGCGGCTCATGACTTGCTTGACAGATGAGTCACAAATTACAAAATGCCCTGACGTGGTTGTTCAGAGTCTGGTGTCTGGGTTCTGCAGTGATTGGCATCACGTGACCACTGGGGACTGTCAAGCCCGTGGCACTGGGACTACACTGCACCAATGGCAGGAAGAAAACACCCTGTCACTGTCTGGAGTGGCTCCAGGGCGTGAGTCCCAACCCCCGGGCAGACAGCCAGAGACTGTGCAAACCCCAGACTGGGTGTGGGCTCTATACTTAGATCTTAGACGGTATTTGGTCCTGCCATGAGGGCAGGGGACTGGAGTCGATGACCTCTCGAGGTCCCTTCCAGTCCTAGAATCTATGAATCTTACCAACCCAGCGTCAAATGTGAAAACCTTCGATACCATAACACCATGGATTCACAGACAGCTCCCGTGGGCACACCCGTCGGTCTTGCCACCCAGACAAGCCGGCCTCTGTGAGAGATGGTCCCTTACACCAAGAATCACAACAATATTCAGGTTACTCCCAGTCCCAAAGGACCAGGCACTTACCCCAGGCCAATAGCCCCTGAGATCTCACACCAGAGACAACGTTTGTAGCCAATCCTAGAGTAAACTATATGAGGATTTATTAACTAAGCAAAAGAAACAAGTTATTCCAAGGTTACAGCAGGTAACTGTACACACAGATAAGTGTGGTGTTTAGATGCTGCATGTGATTATTGGAACTGGGAGCACTGGCTGTTGGGAGTCTGAAAGGACAGGAAACAGGAAGGAGGGGGGAGGAGTTGAGGAGGCTGGGAGAGTTACAGAGTGTGCAGCTACAGCTTGGAGAAGAGATTTCCACTGTAAATAAAGTTCTGTTGAAGTTTGTTAATACCTTGCCTGGTGGATACAACAATAAGTTACAGTTTTCGGTTTCAAACAGGGACAGAGCTGCTGTGAGATGCCAGCTCTCTCTGGCCTTGGGGCTAACCCAGGCTAATCCTGGGGATCTGTTGCCTGTGCTTAGTAGCTCTTGCCCTGTTCAGTCCAAGCTGCATAAAAATAACTGTCGTCTTGTGAGGCATTTTCACGTTTCTGTTCCCCAGAGTTCAAGCTGATGGGACGTGTCCACGAGCACGAACCTCTCCATGGCTGGGAGGGGGAAGCAATTAGCAAAGCCTTGGGTCCTTAGACATTCCACAATGGCTTGTCTGGAGTCTCTGGGTTTTCTTTTGTTGGGCAGGAGAGAAACTGCCCTGGGGAAACTAGTATTTCTCACTTTACCTCACAGCACAGGATACAGATGTGAGCAGTGAGATTGGTGCAGGCAGCAACTCACAAGCATTCCACAGAGTCTAAACACGAAGCTTCACATCTGTTTTCACAACACTCCCACACAGGTGAGCCGGGCTGGTTTCCAGGTACCTGTTTGTCAGTGTTCAGCTGAGGCCTGGGGCCTTGGCATGAGCTGGCACCTGGTCTGCCAGCGTCACCTCCCACTCTCCAGTGCAGAGGCCTGTTGGCAATCTCGGGTGCTCACCTTTCTCTCACGTTGCAGAGCAGGGGCTCTGGGGCACAGCTCAGAGTTCCTCGCTGGTTCCCACGGCAGGGGTCGCTGCCGCTGCCATGTTCCTCCCGGGGCTGTGAACCGAGGCAGCTCACAGCAGAGCATCCGAGGGTGTAGCTGTGACTGTGCTTGGGGGTAGCGGGACATGGTGAGTGGCGCCTGGTCTGTCTGTGGGTTGTTTGTTTGCTCTCTGGGTACGGACTGTGGCTGGGCCATGGCCCCTGCGTAAGCAGCTGAGGCAGGCCTGTGTGTTGGTGCTTTGGTAAAGGCCACGAGGCTCTAACCCTGGGGCTTTGACCAGCCCAGCTGTCTGACGTCTCTCCGTGGTTAATCGCTCCCTGGTGGGGAGGGGCAGAGCTGGGCAAAGCAGGGAGAGTTGGTGTAAAGAGTCACTTGCTAGGTGAACTCAGGAGCCGCAAAGAGAAGGACATTTCTGAGGGAGTGGGAGAGGCTTTCCTCCCAGGTACAGCTCTACAGGTGATATCCAGCTGGCCAGTGACGGGACAGTGGGGACCTGCAATGGACGTGCCGTGTTCTCTTCCCCGCCTGAAGCCAGAAGGGATTTCCTGTGCACGCTGGTGGCTGTGCGGGAGGAGAAGATTCTTGGGTTGGAGAGGCAAGTGGAGACGCTACAGAGAATCAGAAGCTGAGGCGTTTCCAGACAGCCAGGCCCGGAAACATCAGTCCCCCAGGTTTGAGGGAGAAAGGAGCTGGCCACCATGGCATCGTGGGGGGAGAGGAAGTCGGAGAGGAGGCCTGGCAGTTCATAACCACCAGAGGCAGGAGGTCACAGAGCATTCTGCATGGCTGAGATAGATGAGGATGGGCAGGCTGTGGCCACTGGAGGGAGGAGGACTGGGAGGAATTCACACAGCTAGAAGTTTCCAGTTGGTACCAGATCCTCATCGTGGAAACCGTGGAAGAGACCTCGCAAGATCCAGCTGTTCCAAGGGAATGGAGAGATGTATGTGGGACACGTGAGGATGGCAGCTTGGTGCAACCTGTGTGAAAATCAGGTTTCCCCATAACGAGTTCTCCAACCATCCATGGAAGCCAGACAATTCTTGTTGGGGATTCAGCACTCAGAAGAATGGAGAGAACTTCCTTCGAGGGACAGACGGACCACAGAACAGTGTGCTGCCTTCCCGGAGCCAAGACACGAGATGCCTGGGAAACAAGCAGGAAGAATTGGAAGTCCTGGCACAGTCAAGGAACTATGATGCGATTGGAATAAGAGAGACTTGGTGGGGTAACTCACATGACTGGAGCACTGTCACGGATGGGTATAAACTGTTCAGGAAGGACAGGTACAGGAGGAAAGGTGGAGGAGTTGCACTGTATGTAAGGGAGCGGTATGACTGCTCAGAACTCCAGTATGAAACTGGAGAAAAACCTGTTGAGAGTCTTTGGGTTACGTTTAGAGGCGAGAGGAACAAGGGCGATGTCGTGGTGGGTATCTGCTATAGACCACCAGACCAGGGGGATGAGGTGGACGAGGCTTTCTTCAGACAACTAACTGAAGTTTCCAGATCACAGGCCCTGGTTCTAATGGGGGGACTTCAATCACCCTGACATCTGCGGGGAGAGCAATACAACGGTGCACAGACAATCCAAGAAGTTTTTTGAGAATGTTGGGGACAACTTCTTGGTGCAAGTGCTGGAGGAACCAACTACGGGCCATGCTGCTCTTGACCTGCTGCTCACAAACAGGGAAGAGTTGGTAGGGGAAGTAGAAGTGGGTGGCAACCAGGGCAGCAGTGACCATGAGATGGTCGAGTTCAGGATCCTGACACAAGGAAGAAAGGAGAGCAGCAGAATACGGACCCTGGACTTCAGAAAAGTGACTTTGACTCCCTCAGGGAACTGATGGGCAGGATCCCCTGGGAGAATAACATGAGGGGGAAAGGAGTCCAGGAGAGCTGGCTGTATTTTAAAGAATCCTTAGGGTATGTCTACACTACGGGATTAATCCGAATTTAGATAATTCGAATTTGGGAAACAGGTTGTATAAATTCGATTGTGCGCGGCCACACTAAGCACATTAATTCGGTTTTTAACCACATTAATTCGGTGGTGTGCGGCCACACTACCCCATTAATTTAAACACAGTAATTCGGTGGTGTGCGGCCACACTAACCCTAATTCGAATTAACAAAATCGATTTAGGCGCTACTCCGCTCGTCGAGGTGGAGTACAGAAATCGATTTTAAGTGCCCTTTAATTCGAATTAACTGGCTCTGTAGTGTGGACGGGTGAAGGGTTAATTCGGATTAACGCAGCTAAATCCGAATTAAAGTCGTAGTGTAGACCAGGCCTTATTGAGGGTGCAGGAACAAACCATCCTGATGTGTAGAAAGAATAGCAAATATGGCAGGCGACCAGCGTGGCTTAACAGAGAAATCTTCAGTGAGCTTAAACACAAAAAGGAAGCTTACAAGAAGTGGAAACTTGGACAGATGACTAGGGGGGAGTATAAAAATATTGCTTGAGCATGCAGGGGTGTAATCAGGAAGGCCAAGGCACAATTGGAGTTGCAGCTAGCAAGGGATGTGAAGGGTAACAAGAAGGGTTTCTACAGGTATGTTAGCAACAAGAAAAAGGTCAGGGAAAGTGTGGGACCCTTAATGAATGGGGGAGGCAACCTAGTGACAGAGGATGTGGAAAAAGCTAATGTACTCAATGCTTTTTTTGCCTTTGTCTTCACAGACAAGGG